TTTGCAGAGCTTTATCCCCACGTCCAGCTGCGTGCCCTTGTCCAGGCATGAGACGCTCGTCCAACACACAGCACAAAAGGCTTGATGTCCCACACAACATTACAAAAGCTTTTATTGTACCCTTAGACCATAGCGCTGGAGGTGTCAAGATCCTCGCACAGGTAGCAGCCCTTGCCTTGCCAGTGTGGGTGGGCAAGGGCTTCTCCTTTCTTCTCACTCGACAGCAGCAGTGGCACGGGCAGGTGCAGCCCTTTGCCTGGGGGACCTCTTCTTACCCTTGGTTGTTGCCTTTTTGGAGGGTGAGGCCACACGCCGTCTGTGGGGGACAGCTCTGCTGCGGCTCCTGGGCACATCGCCTCGCAGGAGCTGCTTGAGCACAGAGCTCTTTTGCACCGCTCTCTGCAAGTGCGATGGAGAAATGCGCTGCTGCTTGCTATTCTTGGAAATCTTGCCGGCCACGTCCATGGTTCTGTGCGTTAGCCACTGGAGCACTGCAGCCAGGTAGACGGGGGCCTTGGCTCCAATGCGCCCAGAAAAATGGCCTCTGCGCAGCTGCCTGTCTACGCGGCTGACGGGGAAGAGCAGCCCGGCCCGGGAGGACCGGGAGGAGCGGCTCTTTCTGGCCTTTGCTTCGCTGACTTCAGAGGGGCCCCCAAAGGATGTTGCTTGGAGCTCACTCTCCTGCTCAGGCACCGTGCAGACCTCCTCTGCTCCGGACATGTTGCTCGCAGCTTGCTTCGCAGGTCCCTCCACGCTGCGCCTTCCCGTGTGCCCTGCCTGCCTGGCCCGCCTGTCCTTGCCTTCCTTGCTGGCCCTCGCTGGCGGTTCCTGTCTCTGGGCTCGGCTTGCCTGGGCCTGGCCGAGCCTTGTCCGGGCAGGGTGTCCCCACGTGCTCTGGCCAGGAACCCCCGCTTTGGCCGAGCCCCTCGGTTCAGGCTCAGGCCTCTCCTGTGCAGGCTCCGGCCCTGTGCTCACCTGGGCAGTGGGGGCAAGGGCTCTACTTGGGTGGCGGGGACCAATAGGAAAGGACTTCCTCTGTGACCTCACCTCCCCGCTTGTGACATCATCCCTGCTGGGTCCACCCTTTGTGGGGGAGCTCAGGGAGCAGCTCTGCTCCCCAGCTCTGTTCCTGTTTTCCACAGCAGAGGCTTTCCCAGCGCTTGGCACGGGGGGAGCTGCTACAAGGCCGGGCGCTCTCCTCTGCGTCCTCCTCCCTGGCCCTGCCCTGCGACAGCTCTGCCTTCAGCCCTTGCCTCTCCCCTGCAACCCAAACGCACATTGCCACTCTTGGGGAGAGGACCTCCTTCCCCCTGTCACGGCATCCCAGAGCCACAGGGTCCCCAGACACGAGTCCCATCGGGTCCTGCCTTTCAAGACCAGAAGGGCCATGAGCAGAAACTTATTAAGGACTGACAACACCTGGAGTATGAACGTTTCAGTGCCAGCATGCATTCTCCCCTGCTCCTTTGCCCTTTAGCTGGACAAAATACCCGATATTTGTGTCAGGTGTGCGAGAGAGAAATGCAGGGACTCCCCATGTGAGTTAATGACATCGTACCTGAGACGTTGCACGTATGTGATACAAGTTTTCAAAGATCTGTGATGAAGGATGTTTAAAAAGAACCCTTCGGGTAAAGGGAACAATACCTTCTCTTCCCAGAAGGTATCAGCCTTGGTTTTGTTGTTATTCCCTTTGATTTTCCTGTAAGGTTTCTCATTTTTATCTTTGTACAGATACATGCAGGATAGTAGCATTTGCAACTCTCCTTCCTAGGCATCTGCTTGAACACACTCTTAGTTTTCTTTCCACTGGGCCATTTTTGTCCCGTCTAGAATGAAGTCTTCCTAGGATGTCCATCTCCTTATGGTTGTTTTTAGGAAGTG